AAAAACAAACAAAAAAATGAGTTCCTTGTCCAGTGTGGTGCCAGCTGTGGCTACAGGGAGACCCTGTCTCAAAACGAAAAAAAAAAAAAAAAAGTGTCCCTTAAGGTTTCTTACACACATCATCATGTCATCTGCAATTATTAAGTTTTACTCCTTGCTTTTCCATTTTTATGTATTTTACTTTTTTCTTGCATTGTTCCGCTGTGTAGGACCTCTACTACTAAGTAGTAGTAAGAGCAGTGATTTACCTCATAGCAATTGCTCAAGCATAATGCATACTATGCAAATACAATGTTAGCGTGTGGGTTTTTTGTTGAAGCTCTCTGTCAGTTTAAAGAGGTTCATTTCTACTCAAGAGTTTGCTGAGGCTTTTTTCTCAAGTTGATTACTTTTTTCTGCATTACTGAGGCAATCACATGATTTTTTTCTTTTTTTTTTGCTTGTTATTAGCCTGCAAAGAAGCAGTGATAAATAAAATGAGGTGCTTTAAGAGTGGTCATCCTCAGCCAGGTGGGTGGCACCCAGCATTTGGGAGGCAGTGGGCATGTCAGAAAACAAAAAACCTCAGCTTATGGCATGCATAGTGGCGCACAGCCTTTAAATCCCAGCACTTGGAAGGCAGAGGCATGTGGATCTCTCTGAGTTCCAGGCCAGCCTGGTCTACATAGCGAGTTCCAGGTCAGCTGGGGCTACAGGGAGACCCTGTCTCAAAAAGACCAAAAAACAACAATAAAAACCCCAAAACAAAACAAAACAAAACAAACCCCACAGAAAAACAACAACAAAAAACCCTCAGCTTAAAAAGGAATGGGTAAAAGAGCTGAACATGGTATCAGAATGTCAAAATCAAAATCACAAATGTTATCTTAGAATCAACTATTCATTGCAGATTAAAGGAAAAGCCAAAGAATTAAGCTTTCCAGATTGATTCTATAATTACTCTCATTTCACTACAAATTTTTAGATATATCAGTAACACAACTTACCCTCTGTGAGGAATTAAGATTGTCTGTGTGACTGGGGAAAAGCTCAAGCGTCAGGGATGGCTGTTTCAGAATTCCTGGCATAAGATCCATATTTGAGTCACTATCTTGGTCTGAGATATTACTTTCCAATGAATCAGCTATAGAGAAAAGAAAAAAAATTCAATTATAATACCTGCTACTTCTTTGGACAGAGGTTTAATTATGATAACTTTAAGTCACTTGATACAAAGCACTACTTCCACAGCAAGTTCTGAGAGATGTTCTCTGTGAAGGATTAAGTGCTCTTGCTTCCAGCTGTGAGGGCCATAGGTTGCTATAGCATATTCTTTACATTTTATTTATAACCCTTAAAAGAATTTAAAACTGGGACTGGAGAGATGGCTCAGTAGTTGAGATCACTTGCTGCTCTTGCAGAGGACCCGGGTTCAGTTCTCAGCACTCACATGGTGGCTAACAACCATCCATAACTTCAGTTCCAGGAGTTCTGAATTACAATAAAAGCTACCTGTAACTCTCTGAAGTATTTATATTATATATTCAATCCTGAGTGCCATGTTAAGCAGATACTAGGACATCAGAAGGCCATCAAGGACCCAGTCTGAGATTAAGGAACAATTTGGTGGGAGATAAGTACATAGAGTAAAAAAACAAAACAAATCTACAACCATCCTCCCATCGCCCCCAAGAAACATAAATTATCAATAGAAGCTGTGTCAGCATGTACAAATGACAAGTGACATTAATGTGTTTCACAACAGTAGGCTAAGACTCAACTATGGAGGCTATATATGAGGCCAAGGTTCTAGCTCTGGGAAGACTTGATGGTGAAGGCTAACTCAGTCAGAGAAACCAGGAAGGTACTCAGCTCACAGCAGTCAGGGCTCAGCTGCTGGAATAAGGATGCAGACCATAGCCTTGATAGGAGGGCAGGCAGATGCTACACTGATTTACTAGGGCAAAAACGACCCCAGGGCATGAAAAAGGTAAGCATCTAAAGTGAGAAACCAGTGGTTAAGTACAAAGGCAGAGAAGCTGCTAGGCAAAAGTCATTAATGTGGAGATGAGACTGCAAGTGTGATGTATATCCCATTTCTCAAATGGTCTCAAAGAAGGTGACATTCTCTACCTTGGTATGAAGAAATGGCCTTAATCTGAAAAAAGTCAATATTCTTTTTTTTTGGGGGGGGGTGTCTTTTTGAGATATGGTCTCCCTGTAGCCCCAACTGGCCTGGAACTTGATCTGTAGACCGGCTGGCCTCGATCTCACAGAGATCTGCCTGCCTCTGCCTCCCAAGTGCTGGGATTAAAGGCATGTGCCACCATACACAGCTAAAAGCCAATATTCTAACCAAAAGAAGTCATGGGTTCTGACCAAGAAAGAGTAATCAATCATATTCAACCCATAAGAATAGCTTATAATCTTTTCTACACTGCTTAAGTTTTTCCTGCCTACTGTCCAAAGATCAGCCTGATGTCATCATGAAATTCTTCTAGCTGGAGGTTTCTCTAGGGCTCCACATAAAAGCTCTCACATGAGAATGGAGAAACAGGTGGGGCCTCACTCATAATTTGTAAAAGAAGTGGCCAAGGCAGAAATGGAAGCTTGTATATACTGGTTAAGTTAAAGAAAAACCCAAGTAGGATTGAAGTGGGACTGCACTTACAGAGTTCTAGATACCCATCCACAGAAGACTGGAGAGAGAGAATATGTTATGAACACATATGGCGTTTTATTCAACTATGAAGAAAAATGGAAATGATTCATATGCCAGAAAATGGATGGAACTGGAGATCATCATGTCCAATGAAATGAGTTAGAAAGACAACTGTCTCATGTTTTCATATATATGGAATCTAGACTTTACACACACACACACACGCACGCACGCATGCACGCACGCACGCACGTCTGACATGAAAGGGAGAGGAACAGGGAACAAGAGAGCATAATGGGGTGGGGGAGAAAGACTCGTACATGTTTCCCCCTATATGGAATCTAGATTTTTATATATATATATATATATCAGATATGGAGAAAGTTGGCAAAGGAATATGAGCACAGGTAACATATATGCATGAAAATATCATAAAAAATGAGAAAGAATTAGAGTGTTAGCCTACTTGTCTTTAACTATGGCCTGCTATGGTTTCAGTCTGAAATGGTCCCACAGGCTCATGTTCGAACACTTGTTCTCCAGATTGGTGGGGCTACTTTGGGAAGCTGTGAAGCTTTTAGGAGGTGGGGCCAGGCTGGGAGAAGGAGGGGTTCTGTGAAGGTTCTGGTCCTGCTCTCTGCTTCCTAGTCTGCCCTGGTGAGAAGCCTCTGCATGCGCTCCAGAGCCATGGACTGAGCTGTTCTGCCATGCCATCACCATCATGGGAACCCAAACTTCTGAAACTATAAGCCAAAGTAAAACCCTTCATTCCTTATTTTGTTCAATATTTTGGTCATACCAACACAAAAGTAACACAAAAAACTGGTAGCAGAGAAGTGGGGTTGTGACTAAAATTCACCATGTGGTTCTTTGGCCTTTGGAATTGATTTGCAGGAGGACTGTAGAGAAGCAGGCTAGAACAGCTCTAGAATGCTTCAAGCAGAACCGAATGGCCAAATTAAGACAGTGAAGATTGCTCATGAGGTATCTGAGCAAGGGCTTGATTGGGAGCTAGACTAAAGGCCACTCATGTTATATTCTGGCAAACTAATTTGTACATATTCAGGCTATGTCTTGAAAAACTGAGTGATGCCAATGGCAAAAATAATGGACTAATTGATTTGGCAGAAGAAATTTGAAGACAGCATAGCATTCAGTGGTGGTATGGTTACTGTTAGCTGCTTTTAGCTGTGGAAAATAAGCAAAAAAGAAGGGCAAGATTTGAAAACATGCAGCTTAGCCAGGAAGGAATATGAACATTGGTAAACTTGCAAAGCTGAGTGTGAACAAGGGGACTATACTTTTTAGAGCAGCAACAGTAAAAAGAAGCTGTGCATTTTGTGTTGGAACAATGGGAAAGGTGCTTTGAGGAACTATTTCAGGAAGTAGTTCTACTTAGCCACTGCAGGCTCCAATGTATGAAACTGAAAGCTCACCTACAAGATTTTTCTTGTGAGAAGAGTGGCACCCAGCTGGAAAGAGGTTACCCTGGTGTTTGGATTCAGCCATCCAGGCCCTCAGAGGCCACTGTAGCCATGGTTCAAAGGGGCCTGACTGCTGCTCAAGTTGGCACCAGAATTTGACATCATCTTGACATTGTGCTAGTTCACAGGCATAAATAATCAAGAATTATGGAGTCATGGAGGCTTTAACCAGATCTTTGAGAAAAGCCTGTGAGGCCAGGCAATGTGTACTGGGGTAGGATACCCTTCAGGAAGCCCCAGGGCAGGATGTGTGTAAAGTTTAAGAGTGAAACCAAAGATCCAATGGAAACCACAAAATGTCAGAGATGCCAGGAACACGGAGGTTTGTCAAGGAAAGCTGTAGGCACTGAGTGAAGCTGGCCCAATAGAGACCATATGTGCTATAAATGTCAAGGACAGAGGGGCAGGGATGCTCAAGTCTGTTAGAGCTAACATCACATCATCATGTACCTTGATTATCAGGCATGGGGCTATGGGATTTAATATTTGGACTTTTGAGTTTAAGATTTGGTCTAATGTTTCCTGGCTATTTTCCTACTCCCTCCTTCTGGAATAGGAATGTTTACTCTGTGCCATTATATATTAGAAGTATGTAACTTTCTTCTTGGTTTTACAGGGGCTCAAAGTTTAGAGTTTCCTTTGAGTTTCAGAAGAGACTTCAAATTTTTTTTTAATATTTTATTTATTATTTTATGAGTATAATGCCTGCATGTATGTGAGTACACCCATGTCATGCAATGCCATGGAGGTCAGAAGAGGGCTTCGGACTCCCTTGGAACTGGAGTTAAGGATGGTTTGTAGCCACCATGTGGGTGCTGGGAATCAAACCCAGGTCCTCTGCAAGAGTAGTCAGTGCTCTTAACCACTGAGCCATCTCTCCAGGCCCAGAGACTTCAAATTTTTAAAGTGTGGAAACTGTTAAGATTATGGGGACTCAAAGTTGGATGGAATACATTTTGCATTATGAGATGGCCCTGAACCACTGGAAGAGACAGCATATTATGGTTTTAATCTGAAATGTTCCTCACAGTTCAAACTTTGAACACTCGGTTCCTTCCTAGCTACTTGTGCTATTTTGGGAGACTGTGGAACCTTTAAGAAGTGTGACTTAGCTGGTGTAAATAAGCCACTGGGGAGAGGCCTTCGTAGTTATAGCCTGGCTGCTGGTTCTGGCCCTGCTTCCTAGTCTGCTGTAATGGAAGCCTCTGCCCCATGCTCCCATTGCTGTAGACTAAGCCTTTTCACTCTGATGGCTTGAAACTTCTGACACCACGAGCCAAATTAACCTGTCTCTCCCTCAAGTTATTTCTGTCAGGGATTTTGGACATAGCACCAGAAATGTAATGAGCACCCCACAGAAAGTAAGGAGATGATAGTATCTTGTACCTTTGTATATAGTTGTAAGTCTTAGCTTAGAAGCTAAAGAATGCCTTTGATGATTTCAAGATCTCTTCTAATATATAACACCACACAAACCAGTGAATATACAAACATCATAAAAGCACTATGCAGAAAATGTTCTTACTTAAGGATTCCACAGGAGAAGGAACCACAAAAGCTATTTCTGTTAGGGCATCAGCATAATACAGCACCTTCTTCTGTCCATTGAAAATGCTAGCCCCAACATCTTCAGAGGAAATTACTTCATCTAGGAAGAAGAAATACTGAGTCACTGCTTCAGAAAGTAAGGGACATTAATCTTCCTGTTTCATAAAATGTTAACCAGTTTATAAAGTGGTAATAGCTCCAATGAAAACCAATTTGCAGGTAAGAAGAATAAACCATGACTGTTCATTGTCTTTACAATAATTTTACATCCTAATTTCCCAGTTTGTGAAATTATTCCATACCAGACTGCTTCTGATTAGCAAGACCTGCAACTTATCTGTTTGGGGAAGAATAAGGAGTAATCTAGAGCAGATCACCACAAGCACTCTGAAAGGAGTCAGGCCAGGCTATGTACGATGTTATGTATGTATGTATGTATGTATGTATGTATGTATGTATGTGTACATGTGCATGTGTGCTTCCTGGTTATTCTCTCCTACTCCTTAGCTCTGTTTCTGCTCTCCCCTCCCTGGTAATCACTGATACAGTAGAGACATACAAGAAATTGTAGTAACAAGTATCTGCTCTAAGTTAGATAAATTAAAATGAACAAATGAATCAAGACACTTCCGAGTTAGTGTAAATCTCAAAATGAACATGCTACTATTACCTCATAAAAGACCAATAACTTCACAAAAAGTTGACCCAAATGAAGACTAGGATTGAGGGAAGAAGACTTTATATAATTATAATCAAGACTAAAAATTCATAGTAAAAGGAAAAAAATCAAGAGTAACCAAACAAATAATCAATAGTTATTCTGAGTTTTACCTTGTTCAGACCCTTCATCATCCTCACAACTATTAATTGACCAACTGGTAGACACATGTCCAGTCCAACCAGGGTGTCTGCCCACATCTACTGACCAGCCAAGGGAGAGCAAAAATTCTAGGAAATGTGGCTGAACATTTCTAGATGATTCCACATTCTTTAAAATCTGAAATACACAGCAAATCTCAGTTATGAAAGAAACAAAACATATTAAAATAAACCATAAAAACTGGTTACCTTTGCAGCTTCTGACAAATCAAGGCCCAGTTCAGAGTAAGTTTGGGAACTTATTACTAGTGAAAATTCCATATTCTGGAGTGAACTGGCTGGATTGGCTGATCCTTGTGCAAGTTTCATAGACACCCTCAATTTATTCATAATGGAAAGTGGGAATAACAATGCTTGTTGTGTGGGGCTGGAGAGATGGCTCAGCAGTTAAGAGCACTGGCTGCTCTTACAGGACCCGGGTTTGGTTACTAGCACACATATGGTGGCTAACAACTAACTGTCCGTGACTCCAGTTCCAGGGGATTTGACACCCTCTTCTGACCTCCCCGGGCATTGCACAACATGAGTGTACTTACATACATGCAGGCAGTACACTCATACACATAAAATAAAAATAATAAATCTTTTTAAAATGATGGTTATAAAGATTAAATGGGGACTGGAGAGACGGCTCAATGGTTAAGAGCACTGTCTGCTCTTGCAGAGGACTGGGGTTTGATTCCCAGCACCCACATGGTGCCTGTCTGTAACTCCAGTTTCGGGGGATCCAACCCCTTCTTCTTATCTCTGCATGGACACTGTATGGCAGGGGTGCACTTACACACATGCAAGCAATACACTCATACACATAAAATAAAAATAATAAAAGATTAAAAAAAAAGATTAAATGACATAAGTAAAACCCTAAGCATCTCTCTGGTGAAACAATTACTGAGCCAGACATAGTTATTTAAAATAAACAAAAGGCTGCAATGTCCTTTAACAGTTTAACAGCCTAGCTAATGCGGAATGTTACACAGGTGTGTGATTACAGCCTTGACACATGCTACAGAAGTACTAACCTATTACAAGTGCAATAAAGATTAGGTATAATTAATAAACAATGCCAGGCGTGGTGGCGCACGCCTGTAGTCCCAGCACTTGGGAGGCAGAGGCAGGCGGATCTCTGTGAGTTCAAGGCCAGCCTGGTCTACCTAGTGAGTTCCAGGCCAGCTGGGGCTACAGGGAGACCCTGCTTCAAAAAGACAAAAATAAAATAAAATAAACGTATGTGAAAATACCCTTTCCTTAGTCCAAAGGAGAGAATATAAGCACTGTAAGAAAAATGAATAGATAGAAGTTTCTCTCTTCACTAAATATACTTGGGCTTTCTACTAACCTCAGAAGGACAAACCTTCATCCTAAAGCAGTGGTTCTCAGGGCCAGGGAGATGGTTCAGAGGATAAGGGAGCTTGTCACCAAGCCTAAGAAACAGAGGTTGATTCCAGGAATCCACATGGTGGAAGGAGAGAACTGACTACCGAAAGCTGCCCCCTGACCTCCACCTACGTGCCATGGCACACACACCACAGGTACACATAAATAACTGGGGAAAATGAAAACAAGGCCAGGCATGGGGAGGCAGAGCTCTGTGAATTCAATGCCAGCCTGTCTATATAGTGAATACCAGGGCAGTCTTGTCTAAGCAGTGAGTACCAGGGCAGTCAGGGTTGCATAAGGAGACCCTGTCTCAAAAACAAAACAAACTATAGTTTAAAAAAATTAAAACAGTAGTTCTCCTCTGGGGTCATTTTGACCTTCTGGGGACACTGGCAAGCTTGGAGACATTTTTAGATGTCACAGTGCGATGGTTAGTATTAACTGTCAACTTGGCCAATCTGGGAAGAATCTCCATGGGGAATTATCTATATTAGGTTGGCCCATGGGCATGCCTTGAACTCACAAAGATCCACCTGCCTCTGCCTCCTGAGTGCTGGGATTAAAGGCGTGCACCACCACAGCTGGCATGAGAGATTTTCTTAATTGGGGTGAAATGGGAAGATCCATCCTGAATGTGGATGGTACCATTTCACAGGTTAGATTCTAGCTGAATGAAAAAGAGAGGGGGAGTTGAGCACAAGGTTGCATGCTCTCCCTGCTCTGTGTTCCTGACTATGGGTGCTGTGACCAGTGTACTGGATGTGATGTGTTCTCTCAAGCTCTTGCCTCTGACTTCCGTGTCATGACGTACTTCAAACTAGGAGCTGAACAAACCTTTTCCCCTTAGGTTACTTTGTCAGAGTATTTTATTACAGCAGTCTGAAAAGAAACTAAGACACAGTGACACTGTTGAGATACAAGTCCAAAGACACTGCTAAATGTTCTGAAACACACAAAACTGCTCCTACAACAAAGAATTAGCTAGCCTAACACAACACAAGTGCTGCTGGTGGGCACTCGGTTCTAAAGGAAGAAAAACACAAAATTCTTCTTCAAATTAAAAATGAAAAAGGAGACAGGTAACAGAGTGCACCACAATCACTTGGAGAATTGCTTAAAAATAAGGTTCCCTTAGCTTGTTCCAGGCCTACAAAGTGAGTAAAAGCAAGATCCTAAAGTCACAGTATTTAAAAGTTCCCTTCAGGTGATTATAGCAGCTAGTCCATAAACCCCTAAAGTCATCTACACAATGCTAACTAATGGCAGCACCCCATGCAGGCCACAGCAGAAGTATAGGAATCAATATCCAGCACTTCTCAATCTGCTGAGTGTCACCATCAGGCTTATTTTTGTACATAGAATCAGTCTCTGCAGTCTTTGTTCATCCATATCCCTTCTTATTCTTTTTCAACATTGATTTCTTTGCTTGTGTGTATATCTGTGTGTATGTGTGTATGTGAGCACATGCATTGCTACAACATGCATGTGGTGAATTTCTGAGAGTCAGTTTTCTCCGCCACTATGTAGGTACCAGGGACTGAACTCAGGTCATCAGGTTTGGCAGCAAACTCCTTTACCTGCTGAGCCATCTAGCTGGCCCCTCCCCCTCCATATTCTTATTAACTGTTAGGAAACTAATCTGCTTGCCAGCTTCTTTTCTTTTGGGGGGATGTCTGATTTACGGCTCCAGCTCACCTAGAGCTTGCCATCTTTCTGTCTTGGCCTCCCAAGTGATGGGATCACAGATGTATGCCAATATGCCTGGCTAGACATGAAGTTTGTAAATAAATAACTTCTGAAAATTTAGCTGGGAAGCAGTAGGTGATTCAAATTTAACTTGTAGGCCACATACTGGTGGCCAGAGATTAACCTCCTATGCCTAAGTGGGGAAAGAGTTCAGATATTCCCAAGGAAGTCTCCAGGGCTCTTCACTGTGGTACTGATTACCCTCAGAGCTAAGAAACCCAAGATTAGGAATTGCCTCAGGGCCTGTTCTTCTTTTACTGGCACAAACAAATGGCCCCATTATTTTCATGTCTAACTTCAAAGGATTCCCAGCCCCAGTAATCAATCCAATTTTACTGAGGTTCTTCTAACAACCTAAAGCACCAAGTCTGATCCCTGGCTGCCACCATCCTCCCCCTCACAAGCTCCAAGCACACTGGCACCCAAGCTGAACTTCATAAAGATGCCATGCTCTTGTGAGAATGACCTTTCCAGGACTACCTTCTATTACAATATGGACATGCCTCCTCATTTATAAAACACAGAAGGGGGAACTGTAGGAATGACTTTTACAGTATTAACATATTCCAAAAAATGAAAAAATTAAAAACAAAACCAAAAAATAAACAAGATCAATGTATTCTGGACAAATAATTTTCATCTAACCTTGCAACCAAAAAGTTAATGCTTGTAATGTAAACAAGCTCACTGAGCCATGTGCTCCTCATGACCTGGTCCTACGACCTTAATCCCTCAGGACACATCCATGCCCTCCACACAAGATAGCATAGGAATGTGTGCACTGCAAACATTGAGAGAAATGTGTTTTATAATTGTGTGTGTAGTATTCTAGAGATCAAAGGAGAAAATTCTTCTCTGATGAGGGTGAGCCTGGCTTTCTCCCCCCCATTTCAAGCTGGAGATATTGTTTTATAAAGAATGAGCAAAGCTCGTGCTCCAGAACACAGTTCCAAGAGAAAGCTAAAGGAACAGGTTCTCAGCAGTTAGGGTCAGCTCCTGGCCTTAAGATGAATGCTGAGATTCACGCTGTTTTGTTTTTTTTAATTAATTTATTATTTATTTTATTTTATGTGTGTGCGTGTATTTGCTGCATGTAGGTAAGTGCACCTGTGTCCTGCAATGCCCAGGGAGGACAGAAAAGGCTGTCAGATCCCCTGAAACCAGAGTTACAGACAGTTGTTAGCTGCCATGTGGGTGCTGGGATTCAATCCCGGGTCTTCTGCAAGAACAGCCAGTGTTCTTAACCGCTGAGTCATCTCTCCAGACCTGTTAGGCCATCTTTTTTAAAACATCACTGTTAACATGGCTTAGAAACGCAGCACTCTCTTACCCCTGCGAATGTACACATTTTGCTATTATTTGTGAGAAACCATCTGCTTTTGCTTTGTTACCTATAGTCAATACCTCAGAAACTACTGGAATGTCTTTTTCTCCAAAACACCTTGAAATTGGGTTAGGTGCTCCTCTTAGGGCTCCTAATAATGCCTCGCTTCATACACTTTACTATGGGTGCTTCTTAATGCCTGTCTTCTCTTTAGACAGGACTCCAAAGAGGTAAAAAGCCTCGTCTCTTAGCCACTGTCACTCTGGAACCTAACAGAAAGCTGAAACAGTGTGTGGAATGAGAAGAACTTTTTCTTTTTTTTGAGACAGGGTTTCCCCATAGCCCCAGCTGGCCTGGAAATCACTATGTAGACCAGGCTGGCCTCGATTTTAGAGATAGATAGAGTGCTGGGACTAAAGGTGTGTGCTACCACACCCAGTGTTAATACATAATTTGAAATAGTGCTTCTCATGGAAACACTGTAAGGAGTAAATTGCCACAGTGTGCTAATTTAATTAATTAGGTTAATAACAATGAAATGCTAAGACCCTATGATCATAGCACCTGACATACTGAATATTCTGCTTCACAATACCTGTGACCTTCTAGTCACAGTCACTGCCTCTTCCATGCTTCAACCACTCGTTTCCAATCTTCCAAGTTTCCTTCTTCCAAGTTTCTTCTGCCACCTGTGTCTAATTGTGTTATACCTTATCATTTGGATGCTTATCTCCATGTTATTTCTGACCCTGTGCACTCCTTAATGGAAACAGCTTGCTTGTGAGCTACCTGGATGGAACGCAGCTTGCAGGGAAAGCCTGCCGCTCACTTCTGTCCCTGGCATGAAGGCACAGGGAAGTGGTCAGTGCATAGCTGTGACTGCTGTTCTACTCTCAAGATGTCAGGCCTGGCTTCGGCTTTCTGCAGCTAACCTTCAGGTACTCTATAGTTTCTTTGCCTCATGAATATGAATTTATTAAAGAAAAGAAATAGACGCTATCATTCTCTTAAAATGTTCTTCTCGGGGTGACAAGGATCAGGACACTAGGGATCATGTCTATAATTCACTCAGTTTCTGAACTGATTTACATTAAGTCTTTAAGCCTAAGCACAAAATTCTCATTTCAAGTACAAATACAGATGTTTTACATAAAATCTTGTATAGCACAGAAAACTACCAAAGGAAAAAAAGTTTAGAATTCTTACCTCTTGGGTTGTTTTCTGACCTGGTTTCATATAGAAAATAAAAACTGTGTCAAAAGGACGACATGGCAAGAGATCCAGATACCCAATGTCATCAAAAAACCCAGTTATCGTAGAATCAAGTGCAACAAGGTGAGGAGGTAGACGGCTATTTGCAGGTTCCTGTCACCAAAGGAAGAAAAGAGCAGTCATCATCACTTTTCATTATTTCAACTATAAAGCAATACTTGATTGTGGTTTGCTTGGTCATTCATTCATTTTTTCAAATATAGGGTCTCACTATAGCTTGGTAGCCAGGGCTGTCCTCCAACTTACTATGTAGCTGGAGCTATCCTTGACTACACAATCCTTCTGCCTCAGCCTCCCAAGCACTAGGATTTCAGGGGTTGCCACGATATGCAGCTTTTCTCGTGGTTTAATAAAAATTAAACAAAATAGCAGAAATAAATACAATCAAAACCCTACAGACAGTATTTAATACTGTTCTACACTTCCTTTCAGTTATCTCATTTGCTCCTTTCTTCATTACTACACATAATTTAGGCTGTGGTATGTATATAATTTTGGATCCTGTTTCTCTAGACTATCTTTGCTTTCTAGAATCTTTGAAAAATGCATTTAAAAAAATCATTCATTGCTAGTACAGATGCAAAATGATAGTTACTTTGGAAGATAGTTTCTTGCCAAGAAAAATGCTGTCTTAAATACAGTGCAGAAACTACATACATATTTTTATGTGTATGCATGTATTGCCTACATGTAGGTAAGTGAACCCGTGTCGTGCAGTGCCCGCAGAGAACAGAAGAGACTGTCTGATACTGTGGAACTGGAGTTAAGTATGGACAGTTGTTAGCTGTCATGTGGGTGCTGGGATTCGAACCCGGGTCTTCTGCAAGAACAGTCAGTGTTCTTAATCACTGAGCCATCTCTCCAACCCCATTAAATCAAGATCTCATAGAACAATATTAATTTTAACCTTAAAAATACCACAAATTTAGGACTTATGGTATGGGTTCTTACCTTAAGTGGCAGCCCCTCAAACAAATAAAAGGGACCTTTCTTTTTGGTCTTTTTGAGACAGGGTCTCCTTGTAGCCCCAGCTGTCCTAGAACTCACTATGTAGACCAGGCTGGCCTTGAACTCACAGAGATCTGCCTGCCTCTGCCTCCCGAGTGCTAGGATTAAAGGCATGCGCCACCACGCCTGGCCCTCTATATATTCTTTTTTTTTTTCCCTTGAGACAGGGTCTCCCTGTAGCCACAGCTAGCTTGGAATTCACTATGTAGACCAGGTTGGACTTGAACTCACAGAAATCCACCTGCCTCTACCTCTCAAGTGCTGGGATTAAAGGTATGCACCACCACACTCAGCAGTACATATATTCTTAAAATTGATTTATAATTGCTTTTTAAAAATTTTATTTATAGCCAGGCATGGTGGTGCACACCTGTAATCCCAGCAGTCAGGAGGCAGAGGCAGGCAGATCTCTGTGAGTTCAAAGCCAGCCTGGTCTACATATGTTCCCCAGGGGTCCTGTTCCTCTAAGGGGCCTGCTGTGGAGAACTGACTGTGGATAGTCAGTCGTGGAAGGAGGGGCTTGTGGTGCCATCTTGGGACAGAAGGCATGAGCTGCCAGGAATGCACAGTGTTGGCGAGGCAACAGCGGCAGTGGAGGCGGGTGCAGAGAAAAAGATGGCCCCAGCATCTCACCTGTGTCCCAAGAGGGGGCATTTGCCGACCTGGGGTGAGACTGCAGGCCCAAGATGCCTGGGCAAAGTTAAAGGAGACTGTGGGCAGGCATGGAAGCAATCTGGAACTGCGGCCTGCCAAGGACAGCAGGGTGCTGGGTGCCCGGCATTAGTCTCTGTAAGTTTCTCCACACCCCTCCCAAGACATAAACTATAATAAATTCACATAGAAATATGTTATATGGTTTGTCTGATAGCACAGGAGACCCCGAGAGAACTCTGGGGACAGCACAGTGAGTTCCAGGCCAGCTGGGGTTACAGGGAGACCCGGTCTCAAAAAGGAAAAAAAGAGAGAAAAAAAAATTTTTTTTTTAAATTTTATTTATTAAGCCAGGCACACACCTTTAATCCCAGCACCCAGGAGGCAGAGGCAAGCAGATCTCAGTGAGTTCGAGGCTAGCCTGGTCTACATAGAAAGTTCCAGGCCACCTGTGGCTACAGGGACACCCAGTCTCAAAAAGGCCAAAAAGAAAATTTATTTTTTATTTTATGTATATTGCCTACATGTGTGTAAGTGCACCTTTGTTGTGCAGTGCCTGTGGAAGTCAGAAGAGGGTGTCAGAACTCCTGGAACTGGAGTTACAAACAGTTGTTAGCCACATGTGGGTTATGGGATTCAAATCTGGGTCCTCTGGAAGAGCAGCCAGTGCTCTTAACCACTAAGCCAACTCTCTAGCTCTACCGTTGCTTTTTCTTTTTCAAGTCAGGATCTTACAATGTAGCCCAAGCTGTTCTCGAACTTGCAAATGTGAAGGGACCTCAGGACCGACCATTGCTATACCATATTACAGCTCTAGCTGATCCTAGCAACTGAAAAGTAGAGGCAGTTGACTCGGAGTGTGGGAATAACACAATTTGATCCAGCCGCACCAGGATGTGGGTTTGAGAAAAAGGTCCACATGTACCTGGCTGCTCTTGCTAACTGCTTGTTTCTGGCTTCTGTACTTCCCACTTGGCTTGCACCTGCAGGAAGAAACTGTTGGGAACTTTTCCACCACTGAGGTATGAAAAACTGTTGGGGCAGGGCTTTCTACCCCTGAGTGGACAAGGATGTGTATTTTCTGTATAAAAGCCTACCCTGAGAAAGGTTTGGGGTTGCATGTGGGTATACTTGGCCCAGTATAGTCGCCAGCTGGCTATAAAGACTTTCTTTTGGCTAAACTCTGTGTCTGAATGGTCTTCTTCTCTGGTGGGACACCTCAGAACACAATCCTTCTGTCTCCACATCCCAAGTGCTAAGTCACAGTAAGCAAAAGTCACCATGACCAGGAGCTTGGTAAACAGCTTAGGCTGGTCTTGAACGCTCAATTTTCCTGTCTCAGCCTTGTACCACCAGGCCCAAATATGGTTCACACTTCTAAACAGTTTCAATATCTGTTATAAAGCACAGCATCATTTGCTCTGTAAAGTTGTTTAAAAAGATAACAGAATTCAGGAGATTGAGGTCAGCCTAGTCTCCATAGCAAGTCCTAGGCCAGCTGGGGCTACAGGGAGACCCTGTCTCAAACAGACCAAAAACAACAACAACAACAACAAAAGGTAACAGAATTATAGGCTGGTTTCCTTTGTATACTACACAAAGGATCTTATAAGTTTCTGTCATTGTTTATCATTCCACTTTTTAGGTAAGAAACTATAAGTCAGAAAAGCTAGGTAACTTGCCCAAGACAACAAAGCTGGCAAAGAGTAACACCAGGACATAAAGTCAGTCTAATCCTACCAATTGTACAACATAAGAACACTGTAGCTTGTGACACTGTGGAAGTAGAGCTGGGGATGTGACTCAGTAGCAGAGTGCTTGCTTAGTATGTACACTGCCCTGGATTTAGTCTTCAGCACCACAAACCAAAACCAACCCAGATCAATAAATGAATGCTACAGAATTAACTTCATTCCTTTAAAAAGTGTCATGAAAAGCCAAGTCACCGTTGTCTTAAGTACTCTGTAATTTCAGTAGTAGTTTATTAGGGGAAGACTTTTAACATGCCTTTTAATTACTTTTTAAATTACTTTAAAAAATAAATATATATATATATATATTTTTTTTTTAATTATTTTTATTCCATATGCATGTGTGTATTGCCCACATGCAGGTAAGTATACCTGTGTCGTGCAATGCCCTTGCAGGTCAGAAGAGGCTGTCGGATCCCCTGGAACTGGAGTTACCTATGGTTGCTAGCTGCATGTGGGTGCTTGGAATCCAACCTGGGTCCTCTGCAAGAACAGCCAGTGCTCTTAATAGCTGAGCCATCTCTCCAGCCCCACAAGTATCTTTTTATAAAAGCATTTATTTTTCTTTTTTTATTTGTGTGTCTGTGTGCACATGTGTATAGTGTGCACACATGTATAAGTACTTATAGAGGCCAGAGGCATTGCATCACTCTAGAGCTAGAATTATAGGCAGTTGTGACTGCCCCATGGGTATGCTGAGGACTGAACTCTGCAAGAACCATACATGCTCTTAGCCAGTAAACAATTTCCTCAGCCCCAAGTATCTTATCTTTTGACATTTAAAAAATTTTTATTTATTATTTTTATTTTATATGTATGTGTGTATTGCCTGCATGTAGGTAAGTGCACCTATGTTGTGCAATGCCCGCGGAGGTCAAAAGAGGCTGTCGGATCCCCTGAGACTGGAGTTATGGACAGTTGTTAGCTGCCATGTGAGTGCTGGGATTCGAACCCAGGTCTTCTGCAAGAACAACCAGTGTTCTTAACCGCTGAGCCATCTCTCCAGCCTCTAACATGCCTCTTAAAACCAACTGTAGATCCATGTGTAATATGGATTCTGTACTACCCAAGAAAATTCAGAGCTTGTTAGAGCTTTTTTTGTTGTTGTTTGTTTGGTTGGTTTTTTTGTTGTTGTTGTTATGTTTTTGTTTTTATACATGGTCTCCCTTAGCCCTGGCTGGCCTAGAACTCACTAATGTAGACCAGGCTGGCCTTGAATTCACGAGAGATCCGCCTGCCTCTGCCTCCGCCTCCCAGTGCTGGGGAGTACTATCAAAAACAGTCCCTTCAAACAGAACTCTGAATCCTTCACAGGGAGCACTCTTCTGGAATGTCATTTACCTGTATGTAGAGTAAGTCTATAACCTACAACCAGTGTGTGTGTGTATTTAAAATCTTTCTTCATCCTGATAAAAAATATTATAGCTCAAAAAGACCAAAATAGATATATAATATATAAATATAATTATTTATAATATATAATATATATATTATAGCTGTCATCAGCTGAATGTTAATTTGTTAATATATTTACTCCTATATAGAAGTTACTAAGAATTACCTTCAGTGCCTCTAAGGACAAAAATCCAAAGTGAGAAAGGAAAAGGCGGGCTGTCTGGAATTCCTGGGCAGGAGGAGGGGGCTTGCAGTCTGTAACAGGATCAGGGAAGCTTCTCTTCTGCAGTTCCCCATCGCTCTGCTGTTCTAGGCGTAGTTCATAAGCAATCTGCTGGGCCATGCCACTCCTTAATTTTTCATGTCTCTCTTCTAACTGAAATAAGCCAGATATTTTAAATAGTTGCTCAAAATGAAATAACAGTGGTACTTTTAATTTTAAAACAAAACAGTTTTAAAACTGTTTTGGTGATTAAGTTTCGGCTAAATATAGAGCACGGAATTAAGGAAGCATATTACAAAATTAAAACCACACCCCCCAAAACTTCCCTGGCTCTAACCAAAGGCTCCTTCATCTGGCTGTAAAGGACACTATTCTCTCTGCTCCCCAGGGAGCAGAGTTATCTTCTATCCCAGCTCTCATATCGCTGTCTTCACCTGCATATTTACCCATATGCCTCGGGTTTAAAGTACTTACCTACATGCGTTCCTTGCTTATACTCTTGGTAGGCTCTTTCTTATTCCTTCCTTACCTTCTGATCAATCCTAAAGTTTCATCCCCTCATTTCAAGATATCTCTAAACAATCTTCCTTAATTCTACAGCTACCTCAGCCTTCACTACTCTGAACATACATGAACAATGCATCTTGACTCTCAAATGTAACCCACTTTCAAGGGCTATATTTCCCTTTTCACTCCTAACCCCCTTTTGCTCTACTATCCCAATATTCTCCTTTATTATCAGAGTTTGATCATGCTACTGAAACCAGTTCCTATCAATTGGCCAAAATCTACACCCATCCTCCTATATGTAAACCTCCTGGATGACACAGACCCAAGTCACCTTCTGAACCAGCTCCCATAACAATAAAGGCAGTGCCTTAACTGCCTAAGTCACTTAAGAATGTTTCAATCTATCCTGTTAGCAAGAGCTAAAAATAATCTGTCTTACTTCTTCAGTGACAATTTCATGTAAATCTGGAATGCTCAGATCTGCCTTTACAAAAGGAATCTTGTCCACCTCTTCAGGAAATGGTCGATGTTTCACAGAATACTTAAGTCCAACATCATTTTTAGGAACTGGGCGAGGTTCAGGCACAAAAAGCTGTTAAAATAACATGAATGACATTATGGTATTAGATATTGTCCAACACTTTTCTCTAACAGCATGTAAAAGTTCTGGACACATTTCTGGTCCCTGCTTTGATGCTGTGCTTCCCTAGGCACACATCATAAACACTCAGCAAGAATCTGCACTCACTACAGCTAATGGTACAAGTAGACAGCCTGTATACAATTCTTTAATGTTTCTAAAAATGTCTGTCAACTTGTTATAGATTTCATGACTGGTAAATGGTTAAAAGACCTTTACTGCTCAGGCCTGAGCCTCACATAGTCAATTCTAAGCTAATGAATTAGGCATTTCATAGTTTTAAGACTCAAACTTCTGGGGCTAGAGAGATGGTTAAGAACACTGTTCTTGCAGAAGACCTGGGTTCGAATCCCAGCACCCACATGGCAACTAACAACTGTCTGTAACTCCAGTTCCAGGGGATCCGACAGCCTATTCTGTCCTGAGGGCATTGCATGACCTGGGTACACTTACCTACACGCAGGCATAACACTCATACACATAAAATAAAATTAATAAATAAATATTAAAAAAAAAACACAAAACACCCTCAAACTTCCTTACCTATGTGCATCGCCCTGGGTTTTATCCCTAGGGAAAAAAATTCAAACTTCCTTTGTTTCCTAAGAGTTCTCAAATCATTCCCTACAATAAAATGTAAGTTTACATTCTCAGGGTATCTCTAGAAAATGTGTTCAATTAGAACCTTAGGCGGCTTAATGAAGAGCATGATACCAAATCTAGGTCCTCACGGCCCCAAAGCCATGCTTTTAAAGTATAAATGGTGCATCCTGAACCTTCTGCAATTTAGTTGCCCTCCACTGCCCTTCCTCTTCGGTGGTCAACACTAAGCATTACAGAGCTGCCGACTGAGTGTGATCTGCATAGCTCACTTACTGATACATCTCAGATGTTAAATTTTGAGGGCATCCAAATGCTGGGAAATTTCATTGTAATATTTTAAAATAATTTTTAGTAACATAAGTAAACTCTTATAATGTGATAAAATTTAAAAAGCAGTGTACCAAATTCTCATTTATTTAAGCTGCTGATATATATGATTGGAAGAAAATCCAATAAAACATGAACTACTAAACTATGGCTATCTCCCTCTGAAAAGTGAGTGTATTTCTTGGAATGTTACTTAACCTTTAAATTAAATATTCTCTCTCTTTCTCTCTCCCTCCCTCCCTCCCTCCCTCTCTGTACTCACGCACACACACTTGTCACTTCCCTGTAACTGCTGACAGATACCTTCTGATTTGCTTTTGCTCCTCTGGGTAAAAGGCAAAGCTGTTGTGCCCAAGCAAGTCTTCCAGACATTCCCCGGACCAGCACAGTGACAGAGGGGAAGAAATCATCTAGAATAAAATGTTTGTGTAAAGGTTTTTATTTCAGATAACCACCACAATATAATTTAATACACACCTACTGTCAATTTTTTTTTTTTTTTGTCTTTTTGAGGCAGGGTCTCTCCTTTTTGGGAGACAGTGTCCTGGTAAATACTCTTAGCCTTTCAGTGTTGGGAACATCCTTCATACATGTAGACAGACTGGGTGTCTGCAGTATTGACCTTACATTTGCCCATGGACTGGGTTTTGCTGCCTACTGCAGGCAGGCACTGGTTCCTCCCAGCACAAGTTCAGGGGTGGAGATTAGGTTAAACTCAGGATGGACTTCCTTAGTGACCAAGATCCCCTTTGTTCCCTTCTATTGTCTTAGTTATGGGAGTAAAACTTGTTCCAATTTCTCTCTATTTCTTCTGTTATCAACTATTACAATAAACAGAATGTCCTTGTAAGTATATAAAATTCAAATTTTAAATTTGTGTAGACTTCTCATGCAGTGAAATTACTTGGAAGAAAAGTACAGCAGTCCTAAAACACTGCAAGAGGATCAGGAAGCCTGAAGGGACACTAGGATTTTTCAGGCGGCTCAGTGGATGGTTTGGAACTGGGTGGGTGGTGAAAAAATGAATAATAGGCTCAGGGGGGAGAAAGCCAGGCGAGTCCAAGGGTAGAGAAGGCAGAGCTGATAAAGGTCCCATTCTATTTCATACTAAAGTCACTACATTTCACAGTAGCAATGATGGAAATATGTGATGGTATCCTTCTTTCATAATCAGGGCCAGGTTGCTCACTGATAGATTTGTGAGATCCTGCTCATAGTTAACAAAACTTAACTATGATTCTGCTCATAGTTAAGTAAAATTTGTACAGGATGTAAGACTCTGTTTACCTTTGCAAAGGCAAGAAGAGTGTTTTTAAACCAGTAATAAAAATGGTATTATGCTTAGAAATCTAAATTTGAGCTCTAGCCTTATACTTCTCAAGTTACCCTGATCAAGTCACATCCCTATGAGACTCTATGAGCTTCTTACCTGTAAATGAGAACTGTGTAGGTCCTTTCATGCCCAGAGTCTGTAAGCTGGTGCTTTTAGCCACTGAGCCATGTCTCCAGCCCCATCATGGCCCGAGTCTGTAAGCTTTATTTTCCTTCACCTTCCTAGCAATAAGGTTCTTCCTGAGAACAGTCTTTACATACTGGCTGATGCCCATTAGCATTAGGAGAAAGTATTCTTGTAGTATTTGGGTTGCAGTGGTAACTGTACCTTGAAATAACTGATAACCCAGGGGGTGGGAACAGTATAGTCTTATCAATGGAAAAGCACTGAAGTGCTTTTGGTAGGTCGTATCTGTACTTAAGGATGAAAAACATGGTGCAGCAAGGAGGGCAGTGGTAAGTATAAACAAATTTTGGAACTGCCAAGAGGGAAATCACACCAGATAGGAAGCAAATGCAACATTCTATGTTAGAAATAAATAAGGCCCTGCAATTAGATGAATTCTGAGGAATATGGAGGAAAGATTCAAGTCACTGGGGACGTAGAAATGTAAAAACTAACTATATAAGTAATATGAGGAGGAAGGAAAGATGAATCCTCAAATTTCTAACTTATGTAGGTAGTAATAACTGAAATAGATCAATGGCGGGTGAGGGGGAAGAGAGCAGAGGAGCATGAGCCAAGGTTCACAAGAGAAAAAAGAATTTTTATAAACAGTAAACATAAAATATCCCACTAAGATAAACTTATATAAAACTGTGAGACACTTTTTGATATTTCAGGCACACATAAAGAACTTTTAAACAATCTTCAAATGTGAATTCTATTTTCTGACTGTTTCTCAGGACATACTATCCCATTGCTTTAAGTTCTTCTGACAGATACACGGTTGTTTACAACTCAGTCTGTGCTTCCCTGTCAGTGCTGAGAACACACTGAGCAGTAAAGAAAGCTAGAAAGGCTACAACTTACTCTGTTCACCTCCAAGAGGCTGCTCCAGCATTGCCAGAATGACACTGTTATCCAAGACAAAGTAGCGGAAACTATGCTTGTTGATGGTTGGCAGCCTGGTGTACTTGATTAGCGTGGTCTCGTTCACCAAACTACAAGGAGAGGCAGGGCCACTGGGTGAAGGAAATGCGCCAAGCTGCTGCATGATACTAAGGAGAATGAAATAAAGAACAATGAATTCCCAAAGACAATTCTAACTTTGTCTCAAGTATCTATGTCCATCTGCTCCTCTGAACTTTAACTGAACACATCCATGCTTCTTCACTTATGCCCTGGCATGCTGTGTAGAATCCGTACCCACCCCAAGAATGAATGCCTACTTTTCTAGTTGCAGGGAGATGGTAGCTATAGCCTCCAACTAAATCCCTAAGACTTGCCTTTAGCCATAAAAAAACTCAGGAGCATAGCTTCTTTCTGGCACAGGCCTTGTCCAAAAATTGCTTAGCTGGTTATAGAGTCACAGCCCCCTCACCCCAGCTTCATAGAACACTGAAGGCTCAAGCCAGCTTGAGCACTTCATTGCAACTCCTCAACTGTCCAGCAGTCTTTCCCTCAGCCAGTCCTGCTTCCCCCTTCCTCTAAGGGGATTGATACTCTTTCCAAAAGACATGATGCAAGCAACTTTCCTATCTGCTACCCAGGGAGTACAATTAACTACATTTCCAAAGCAGGAAGATACATTTAAAACTCTTGTTTGTGTGCTCCATGTTTTAGGATTATGATAGCCAAAGCATCTTAAGGTCTAGAAAAGGATGCAAAGTTCAGCCAGAATCCCTTCACTTTATAGATGAGCTAAGAGCTAACTGTTTTGAGGCCAGAAACCATGTTATGTTGCCTTCTTACTGTATGGCTAGGAACAGCTATGTCCTCATTTTAGGTAAGGAACTTGAGGCACTAACAGTTATATCTCATACAACTGTCACAAATCTATGACACAAAATGCTTTATAAACCAGAACTCAACTTCACATTCAGAAATGTTTGCATCTGTGTGTATATATACACATATATAGGGGAAGATTTCTGCCTATTTTCAGTTAATTAACTAACGTACTCTTACTTTGCGCCAAATATTATTCTAGGCACTTTATACACTTTTATTTCATATAGTTTCATAACAACCCTATGAGATAGGTAGCATGATTCCCATTTTTATTATTCTCATTTGTAATAATAAACAAGTTCAGCCAGGGGTGGTAGTGCACACCTTTGATCCCAGCTCTTGGGAGGCAGAGGCAGGCAGATCTCTGTGAGTTCAAGGCCAGCCTGGTCTACATAGTGAGTTCCAGGATTGCTGGGGCTACAGGGAGACCCTGTCTCAAAAGACACCCCACCCCCGCAAAAAAAAAAAAAGTAAGGAAAGGAAGGAAGGGAGGGAGGGAAGCATTCTATACTTCAGATAGAAATATTTTACCACGTACTAATACCAACCTCACCTTTCATATGCATCTCACTTGGAAAACAACTATTCCTCAACATCTTTGGAGGAGCATATGTACGTTGGTATGCACACGTAAGAGGACGGGGAGGAATAGCGAGTGTCCCGTTCTATCATTTTCAGCCTTAATCCCTTGAGACAGGATCTCTTCATGAATATAGAGCCATGCTGGTAGCCCGCAAGCCCTCCTATCTCTGCCCCCCACACTAGTGGGGTTATGGGTGTCCAAATAGTCATACTTTCTTTTTTTTTTTGGTCTTTTTGAGACAGGGTCTCCCTGTAGCCCCAGCTGATGTGGAACTCGCTATGTAGACCAGGCTGGCCTCGAACTCACAGAGATCCGCCTGCCTCTGCCTCCCGAGTGCTGGGATTAAAGGCGTGCACCATAATGCCCGGCCATACCTGCTTTTTAAGTGGGTGTTGGAGAGTTGAACACAGGTCTTCCCGCTTGCACAGCAAGAGCTCTTACCCACTGAGCTACTTCCCCAACCCCTCAACACCACGCTTATCACTCATCCTAAACTTGGATGACCTTGTTTTCACTCTCTCACTTTAAGGCTTGAATCCAAAGATCTCAGGTAATGGAAGGCAGCATTTCCAATGTTCTTTCTTTTGCCTTTTTAAAAAAATAATTTATTGAGAATTTCATACAGGCATATAAGCATATAAGGTGTTTTGATCAAATCCATGCTGACTCCCTCCCCTCCAACTCCTCACATATCTCCCCATCACTTTTTTCTGATAACTTCATGTACTCTTCCTTTTTTTTCCTTTTTTTTTTTTTTAAATGAGGCTTTTTGCTACTCTAACATTCCCTCCATCTGAAGAGGTAACCCTAACATCTTTTAAGGATTAGATAAAAGCTCTCAAATACTTTTGACATTTTTGGCCTTTGGAACGGAGTATGTTGCTAAGAGGCCCAAGGACATTGTGACTTTTAGCCAAGAAACTGGCTACTTTTCTTTGGGATCTTTTTATACTAACTGCCGAGCCAATTCCTACCTCCTATTTTTATCACACCATCCTCTGAAGAGGTTACCCAAATTGCAGATAGGGAATCGGGATGCGGATCACTCTGGCTTCTTCCATGCTGAGCAGGGACAAAGGGTGAGGCAAATGGGGCACTCCTTCAAGGGGTCTAACTAAAAGACTCTCAAATTGAATACCTCTTTATCTATAGGGGGAAAAGAAAGTCCTTGACTGGTGAATAGGAGATGTGAAGGAAAAGTAAAGGTAAGAGTAATTATCATTACAAGTTCTAGACAGGGAACTAGAAAAAAGCCAGAACAGGACAAATTTCAAATGTTCGTATCAGAGTCCATTGGAATTTCTTGACAAGGGCTTCCAAAAGCATCCCTCTATTGGGTTACTCCTCATTTTTCTTTTGTCTGCCAAGGCTGGATTCGAGAGTGATGGATTCGGGATTTGCTCTCGGGCATTTTGATAGCTGTTGGAGTGGTTAGAATCAGTGCCTGCTCCCTCTCAAAGGCTTCACCACATGAAGGCAGTTGAGACAGGGCTTTCCTATAGCTCCAGCTGGCCTAGAACCTGCTATATAGACTAGGCTGGCCCTGATCTCACAGAGATCCACCTGCCTCTGCCTCCTGAGTACTAAGACTAAAAGTCTGTGCTACCACACATTTTAAAAAATGTGTTTGCCAGGCTGGAGAGATGGTTCAGTGGTTAAGAACCTGGCTGCTCTTGAAGAGGAGCCGGGTTTCAATTTCAGCACACACATGGGAGCTAACAACTGTCTAGTTCCAGGGGATGTGACGCTCTCTTCTGACTTCTGCAGGCACTGCACGACATGGGTACACTTTCAGGCATGCAGGCAGTACACTCATACACATAAAAAAATAAACATTTTTTAAAAAGTGTTTGCCTTCATATATTTATGGGCATGAGTGTGCAGTGCAAGTGGAGGCCAGAAGAGGGTGTTGGATCCCTTGGAACTGGAGTAACCACCATGTGAGTGCTGGGAACAGAACATGGGTCTTCTACAAGAACAGCCAGTGCTTTTAACTGTTGAATCACCTCTCCAGCCCTTTCTTGCATTTTTTATTCCTCCTAGAAGGACTGCCTAAGATTATCAAGGAAATGGAAAACTTGATGAGCTCAGTCTCTAATGACTTGTGGAAAACAGGAGAAATACCAAGAGATTAGTAATGACAAAATGTAGACTTGGCTTTCTTTTTTTAAAAATTGTTTATTTTTTTATGTGTATGAGTGTTTTGCCTGCATGTATAAAGTGTACTACATGCACATATATTCATACAGCCAGAAGAGGGCATCAGATCCCCTGGAACTGGAGTTATGGATGGTTGTTAACCCCCATGTGGGTACTGGGAACCAAATCTGAGTCTTCTTCAAGAGCATTCAGTGCTCTTAATCCCTGAGCCATCTCTCCAGTCCCAGCTTTGGCTTTCTTAAAAGGAACAGAGACAGATGTCACAAAGCATACTGACCAGGTGGGCTTGTGATGTTCCATGAAAGATCTAAGATGTTATCAAACAGGCTACTGGTAAGGATTAGGTCACTAAGATGAAATCAGATCAGCCTAACCACATTTTTCTCTTCCTGACAGTGACCAGACTAGAAGCGCAGAGAAATATCTCTGAAATTAAGACAAGTATTTGACTGTCATGATAAACCTGTAGATAAGATTAAAAAATCCTTGTGAACCTAAAGGGAAAGTCTCTACTGATACACTTTATGGTTCAACCTTTGTTCACTTTTATCAGTGTCTCTGATTAGGCCGCACAAGCCAAGTTCATTAAATTTACAACTGAGTTGAGCATGGTTGCTTCTGCCTATAATCCCAACACACAGGATGCCAGGGTAGGAGGATTGCCATGAATTCAAAGACAGTGAGACTGTCTCAAAACAACAAGGGCCAGTGAGATGGCTCAGTGAGTAAAGACACTTGCTGCCAAGGACCTGAGTTTGAGTCCCAGAACCCACATTGTAGAAGCAGAAACTCTCAAAAGTTGTCCTTTCACCTCCACATGCATACATGTGCAGGTACGCACGGGTACACACACGTACACACACAAACACACACAAACACACACACACGTTTAAAAAAAAGCAAAGTAATTAAGAAAAAAAAACCTACAATATTAGCAGAAGTTATCTGCAGAGATCATAGATCACACATAGAATAAGAGTTACAATATATACAACTATGAACAATGTGAAATATCTTACAAAAAGAAATTCAAACACTATCAAACAATAAGAACAGGTGACAACAGATGAAAACTAAACATATGAAAAGACTCAAATGATTTCAATTAACTTAATGCAAACCAAGCTTCTCAAAAACCTAAGGCAGTCTCCAAATAAATTTTTGATGAATATATACTGTTCTACAGTTTAAAGGTGACAGACCTCATATGAAATTATTACTGTACTCAATAACCTACCTGTAAGAGATACACAGTCAAACCTACACCAGGTGAGAGTGACCAGGATGATAAAGGCACTTATAATATGAAAACAGTATGAAGGTACTGGCAGAAAAGAACCAGAGAGATGTAAGCATTGTCTTCGTGTACTGACTGCACTACCAAAAGTCTAAATAAATGCCAATGAGTGCAAGTTAAAGAGAGAGATTTTAGCTCAGTGTAAAACATCAAGCTTTTAGCAATTAAAATGAAGTAGGAAATCTTGGAGTCTAGACTCTAAACCCCAAATGAAGGCGAATATGCCTTAAAAGTCACTAAACCAGAGGGGAACCACTGACAAGACGTCTAATGTCCCAATTCTTTTTTTTAATCATTTTGAGACAGGGTCTCCCTGTAGCCCCAGCTGGCCTGGAACTCACTATGTAGACCAGACTGGCCTTGAACTCACAAGAGATCCTCCTGCCTCTGCGTCCTGAGCGCTGGGATTAAAGGCATGTGCCACGACACCTGGCCCAATTCTTAATTCATATTAGTACTCCAAGGGGAGGAAACCCAACCAGCTAATGTGTGCTCAGTACTGTGGGAGGGTATCAAACACAGACAACATGTATGAGCTAAACAGGGTTCTGAAACACAGAACTCCTTGCTCTGTGGTACATTTAGACAATGAGTGCAGAGATATAGAAAACAGTTATGCTCCAAAACCAGAGTAACAGGGGCTGGAGAGATGACTCTGGTTAAGAGCACTGGCTGCTCTTCCAGAGGACCTGGATTCGAATCCCAGAACCCACAGGGGGCTAACAACCATCTGTAACTCTGGTTTCGGGGAATCCCATTCCCTCTTCTGACCTCCACAGCACTGCACAACATGGGCACACTTACATGCAGGTAGTAAGTACACTGATATACATAAAATAAAAATAATACACAAACCAGGGTCTGGGGAAGGGGCTACAGGTGCCATGCTGGGCCATGAAGATGGCAAGAAGTCCCTGAAACAGCCCAAGAAGCAGGCCAAGGAGATGGATGAAGAGGATAAGGCTTTCAAGTAGAAACAAAATGATGAACAGAAGAAATTCAGGAGCCAAAGGCCACAGGGAAGGGCTCCTGGCCACAGGTGGAATTAAGAAATCTGGCAAAAAGTAAGTTCTTTGTTAAACCTGAGATGATGGTGCCCCTCTTCTATTTCTATTTAAACATCTACATTCCCTGCTTTTATTATAGCTAGAATGAAGTGTTGCCTGGAGCCTGTTATACATTGTAATAAACTTTTGTTAAAAACAAACAAACAAAAAAATCATACAATGGCTCATTGTCTGTAGTTCTCATTCAGCTCATTCCTACCTCCGCTGTGAATTGAAAGTAAAGCCAGCCCGGAATCCTGCCAGAGCCTGCTGTTCCATCTTTGTTGTACTCTGAATTCTCTATCACCTTGAATTAAGCCAACTCATTTAAAAGGCTATCAAAAAAAAAAGGAAGTAAAATATTTTTAAAAACCAGAATAACAAATCCCAGCACTCAGGAGGCAGAGGCAGGCAGATCTCCCAGCCTGGTCCTCATAGGGAATTCCAGGCCAGCTGGGGCTACAGTGAGACCTTGTCTCAAAAAGACGAAAAAAAAAAAAAAAAAAACCAGAATAACAGAAGGAGGCTCCTTCAGGTAGCTGGATTTGCTGTGAGCACTGAACGTGCAGGATGAGGTCTGAAACAGCAGATCTGAGCACACCCAGGTCAGTGGCTCAACTACGGCAAGGGGGCGCTACGGAGCAGTGGTGGGAGAACAAGGGGTTTAGACAAGATGGAAGGAAACTGAGATCCACTCAAGGGATCAATCAAGCAGTGGATTAAAAACTGTAATTATGAGCTGGGTGTGGTGGCACATGCCTTTAATCCCAGCACTCAGGAGATAGAGGCAGGTGGATCTCTGTGAGTTTGAGGCCAGCCAGCCTGGTCTCCACAGTGAATCCAGGCCAGCTGTGGCTACAGAAAGACCCTGTCTCAAAAAAAAAAAAAAAAAAATCAAACCAAAACAAAACAAAACAAAACAAAACAAAAAAACTGTAATTATGGATGACAAATCTAGGCAGAGAGTACAAGATGAACAGAAATCATTAGAGCCTAGAAACAGAGATTAAGCAAAACGCAAAGCAGGCCTGGTACAAAATGCTATCTGAGGCTTTAGGGGCTGGAGGGAGGACTTGACAAAAACAAGTCTATGGGGTTCTGTTGCTGGCTGAAGTCTGGTTTGCCTAACTAAAAACAATGATGATACTGACGTAAGGGAGTAACTGTGAGGGAACAAGAGAAATTGGCTGGGGACATGTTCATTGGCTGGGGAACTCCACAGAGTGTTCTTTAAGGGTAAAAACTGAAGTACCCTGGTGGAATTGCTAGCAGAGACAAAATGGCAGAAAAGAAAGACAAGAGCCTGTAGGTAGTTGGCCTCAGGGAGAAGAACTCCCTCACAAATACATATATACCTGTCGTCACCAGCAACCACACTCTCACAGGAATGCTTAGCAAGGCTAGAGTGGAACTCTCAGTGAGAACTACCCTTCCTAGTCCTCCTCATAGTCTTTCTCCTCTTCAAGGAGTGTTATCACATCTCAGTGTGTGACTCCGTACTTACCACCTGCATAAGTACAAGCAAAGCTAGACTAATTTTTTAAGCTATTAGTTAAACCTCAACAAAGGCATTGAAAGTCTAACAGTTAACATAGTCCACAGGACTAAAAAAAAAGCAAGCATCCTTCTGGAAATTATTACTTAAGTTCATGAAGATCAGAAACAAATCCAATCTATCTTTGTATAACCCAAATAAGCAAAGGGGTACTATATTTAGAAACACATTAGGATCTTGGAAAGGGCTGATTTACATACGAATCTCCAAGCATTCTTAAGCACTCAAAACAAGCCAGCGCATACTATCATGATGTTCATCCTTCCCACTGTTATCCTTTCCTAGGTTTTCATTCATACCTACTCTTTCATGAGCCCATCTTTAATCATTCCTGGCCATCTATGTGATCTCTGCTCATCTAGTCTAAACTCTTCCAACCTCTTTTGAGTCTCCTCATCACCAGACACTAAACTTTCTCACCTCTCTCTGCCATTCTTTCAAAGAACCAACCTCTCTGTATCCATCTGTTTACTACCAAAATGTGTGTCAGCAGTCTTGGTGCTTTCTTAACCACCCTTTAATGCAGCTTATTAAGCTCAAATGTCACACATCCCCTCAGTCAGTATTAATATGGTTTTCCCTAAGATGTTACTCTGAGTTCCCCTTACCCAAGAGTGCTCATTTCCTCCTTCAAACTCCCCAGTTTTTTATCTTTACCTCTTCTCTTGGGGCACTTACCAGCCACCTGTTATTATAGGACTGTGTATCCTGATTTCATACAGGACTAGATGGAGTTAGGGTAGTGACTGAATCTGATGTACCTGATTCTATTACCAAGTTCTGAAAGAGTTCAAAAATCCTAGCTGAATGTAGCATAGATGGTGCTGCAGAGACCAGAACATTGAGCTGGGGAGCAAATCCGACCCATCTCATCTCTGGATTAAGTCATCCAAAGAGTGAAGTAAGTCTCTCCAAGATTCTGACTCTAAAATGATCTGACGAGTTAATATCAACCAGTATGAAACACAAAGACTCAAATCTCAGCAGAAAATCTCTGGTTTCTTTTAGTTCAAAAATGAGTACAAAATGCTGAACACATGGGGAAATACGAAGCAGAACAGACCACTGCTGCCCCTGTCTAACTGCTAGACACAATCCTCAGCAGTGACTTCCATACCATGTTAAAGTGGCTTCTGCAGCATCCTTCACCCTCATAGATGCAGGGTTTGGCTCCTTGTCTCCTTTGTACTTGACCTCTTGCTCACTGTTCTTGGACTTGCTTCCTGAGATACCCAGTTCCACAATCTCCAGTACTTCCTTAAGGCAATCCTAAAAGCAGTAAGGTAAAAAAAAAAAAAAAAAAAAAAAAAAAATCTTATTTTGTTGTTGTTTTGAGACAGGGTCTCCCTATAGCTTCAGCTGACCTAGAACTCCTTATGTAGACCAAGCTGGCCTCAATCTCATGGACATTCACCTGTCTCTGCCTCCCCAGTGCTGAGACTAAAGGTGTGTGCCACCATACCTGGCTAATTAAAAAAAAAAAAAGATTTTTTAAAAAAAATTACAGTTCTTGAAGCTGGGCATGGTGGCACATACCTTTAATTCCAGCACTCAGGAGGCAGAGGCAGGTGTATCTCTGTGAGTTCAAGGCCAGCCTGGTCTACATAGCAAGTCCCAGGCCAGCTGGGGCTATGGGAA